CCCCTCCCCCCCCGCTATCGCTATATACCGTCACAACGGAGTGAGCGAGGGAGCTGGTGGTGAATGGGAGGGGGAGAGGGTCTGCAGTGCCACGCAGCGACACCCCTAAATACTGCCCCGAGTCTCCTTCTCGTTTTTCAATGCTCATCAGAGTAGGGTATTTCACCACGAATCTCAATAAAATTTTGGGGTTGGGGGGGAGTGGCGTTTTTTGTTGTTGTTTTTTCTCCTTTAACTGTTACATATCTCGAGATAACATTATTTTCCCTCCCGCCGACACTCCAGGCTCCACCGCGTTCGTCCGCAACGGCATCCTGGAGTGGCGCACGCTGCACATCGGCGGCTGGCTGCACCCGGAGGAGGAGATGCAGATGACATCGACCGTGGCAAACTTTGCGGGGTCGATGCAGCAGTTTACCTTCAACGGCATGCAGTACCTGGAGCTGGCGCGGGCGCAGGTGTCTAGCGCGCGCGGCGGCGGCCCCGGGTCCCCCACCGCGGGCACGCCGACGGCGGCGTCTGGCGCGGCGCACATCACCGTGACGGCCACCATCGGCAAGCGCGACAGCCAGCTGGTCCACCACCCCGTGCACTTCAAGTCCAAGCACACGTTCGTCGGGCTGCCTACTCTGAAGGCGTATTCCGTAACCAACATCTACTTCCAGGTGAGAGTCAAAAGCCCCGTAAGCGCCGTTCGTGGGCAAACAAACTACGCAAAGGCTCCAACCATCTTCTAACATTTCACCTCCTTACAGTTTAAGACGCGGCAGGCGAGCGGCATTCTCCTGTACAACGGCGGCCGCGACCACGACTTCCTCGCCGTGGAGCTCATCTCCGGACACGTTCACTTCATCTTCGACCTGGGCGACGGGCCGGTGCGCCTGCACGACAACGCTCACTCGGCGCTCAACGACAACCGCTGGCACTCGGTGACCATCAGCAGGCCCGGCCCTCACGAGCACACCCTGCTCGTCGACGACGGCTTCAGCAGCGTCACCAGCAAGGGCAAGAACGAGAACCTGGACCTTGACGGCCTCCTCTATGTCGGTGAGTTCATTTGCACCAGCGACCTGATCGAGATGGTTTGTGACTTTTCTTTGGAGGATGTTATCTGACGTGTCCCAACCGTTTTCGCAGGTGGCCTGCCGGAAGAGATGTTTTCACGGCTGCCGCGTCAGGTGACGGCCCACCAGGGCTTCGAAGGGTGCCTCGCGAGCCTCGACCTCAACGGTGAGTCCCCCAACCTGGTGGCGGACGCGGCCATCCCGAGCCAGCAGGTGTCCGAGGGCTGCACGGGCCAGAGCACGCGCTGCAGCCAGAACGTGTGCGCCAACCGGGGCGTGTGCGTGCAGCAGTGGAACTCGTACGCGTGCGATTGTGACCTCACGTCGTACACCGGGCCGAGCTGCAGCGAGGGTGAGTTGCGCGTCGAGCTGACGCCCCGCCCAATGCCGACGGACACGTTCCCTGACGGCCGCCCTGTCCGCAGAGTCCCTGTCGTACGAGTTCGGCCCCGGCCGCGGCCTCATCACGTACGCCTTCCCGGAGGAGCGCCGCCCCGAGATGAAGAGCGACGTGATCGCCCTGGGCTTCATCACCACCAAGGAGGACGCCATCCTCCTGCGGGTCGACTCGGCGACGAGCCAGGACTACATGGAGCTGGAGATCGTAAGTGATGCCCACGACGCTGGGCCAGTCAGTAAGTGTTGCACACACTAGCGCGAGCTGTTCACTCACGATGATGTTGTCTGGCCTCCGCAGGTGGAGGGCAACATGTTCATGGTGTACAACATGGGCACGAGCGACCACCCAATCGGCGACATCAGCGTGCGCGTCAACGACAACCAGTACCATGTGGTGCGCTTTACGCGGTCGGGAGCCAACTCGACCATCCAGATCGACGACTACAACGTGCAGACGCAGCACCCGCCCGGCCACCAGCTGTCCGTCTTCAACAGCCAGTCCAAGATTCAAGTGGGCGGCCGGTGGAGCGCCAACAAGAAGAAGGTGGAGAGGGCCTTCTCCGGGGTCATCTCTGGCCTCGTCTTTAACGGCATCCGCGTCCTGGATCTAGCTTCCTCGAAGGACCGTCGGACCCTCGTCCGCGGCGAAGTCCTGGTAAGAGTTTGTCCCTGCCAAACACGACTGGCTAGCGGTGTGATGACACGATCCTCACGGCTGCTTCCTCCTCAGCCCCTGAAGTCGCTGGCGGGCCGCAAGCACGAGCCTCCGCAGCGCATGCAGCAGACCTCGCCGTCGGCCTCCACGGCGCAGGGCTCGGACGACCTCGTCTTTTCCGGCGCGGGCTCGGGCTGCAACGCGGACGACGAGGACGAATGCACGCCCGTCATCGACCCTGGTGGAAGTGAGTCCCCGTGCGCGAGCAGCGAGCGCGCCTCCCCCTCCAAGTCGACCGCTAATCCTGTCTGCTCCCCTTCCTGCAGGTGACGACCTCATCACCCCCGTGTTCGTGCCGCCGACGCGTTCGCCCGCGGGCGCGGGGCGCCCCGGTGCGGCCGGCGGCAAGGCCTCTCACCCGGCGGGCGGCGCGGCGGGCAAGCCCGCGTGCGACGACGAGGACTGCTTCGTGGGCTCGGGGTCCGGCGAGAACACGGTCACAGAGCCGGACAGCAACGTCTCCAGCACTGCAGGCAAGGGTAAGTACAGCAGCGGGAGTTGTCGCGCTGCGCCGCGGGTCTGACTGTTTCACGCCCATGACGTTGACGTCCAGGGTCGAGCACGCCGAGCAGCGCCATCGTCACGTCGGAGGCCGACCCTGGCACGACGTACGCTGGAGCTGGCACCTCGGAGGTGCCCTTCGTCGGCACGTTCACCCCGGGCTCTGCTGGGCCAGGACTCGGTCCCGGACAGGTGTTCACGACGACGGTGGGTGGGACCACCGGGCAGGCGGCTCCAGGATCCTCCGCGCAGGACTTCGGTGTGAGCAGCGTGGACACCCTTCCGCCAACGTCCACCATCTCAGGTGAGTAGTGCGGTGACCGCTCTGAGAGGTGGTGACTCTTGTCGACGGGTCCTGGATATAACTCATTTTGGGGTAATTTGCAGAAACGACGAGTACATCGGGCTCGACGCCGAGCTCGACGTCGACGCAGGGTACGACAAGAAGCACGACCACCTCAACCACCACGACCACAACTACCACCACGGAGTATCCCCGCCTCCCACCGACCATCATACCTCGACCCCCGCCCACCCCAAGGAAGCCGGGGCACGGCAGGGTACGTACCACTCTCGTCTCCCATCCTCTCCCTGTAACCTGCAACTCGCCTGCCGCCCGTGATCATACTTACGATCTCTCGTTGTCCCCAGGATCGCGACAACAACCGAATCACCTCCGAGGCGAGCGAGAACGCGGCCCTCATCATTGGCGTGATCGCCGGCTCTCTGATCGCCATCATCCTCATTGTGCTCATCATCCTGAAGGTGAAGAGCCGCGGTGACGGCGCGTACAAGGTGGACGAGAGCCTGGGGTACGCGGGCCCCGGGCACTCGCCGCACGCCGCGCTGCTCGCCGGCCAGCAGGCCTCGCCCCCGCCAGCCCCGCACGGCCTCCACCCGCACAACGGCAGCGCCAGGCAGCAGGTCCCCGGGCCAGGCCTGCAGGCCGGTCTGCAGGCCGGGCCCGTGTCCCAGCCGAGAAAGAAGCAAGGGGTCAAGGAGTGGTACGTCTAACGCGGCGTATGGGACTGTGCCTGTTTGTGCCTACGCGCTGCACTGGACTGTTCTCGGGGCACGCGGCATCGTGAGTGCTGAATGCTGCGCTGAATGCGCCATGAGTGTGCTCTGCGGCCTGCAGTTTGCTGGCCTATTAATTGTTGATATTGTTGTTGATTGTAAGTGTTTGTTGTGGTGTGTTTGTATCGTCAGTGCGTGCGCGTCCACTACATACCGCTCCATTTTATGAAAAAGAGATTTCTCATTTTGTACCTTATTCTTGTTTAATGAGAGTTTGTTGATTCCATCCTTTAGCCTGCCCGGCGCTATGCATACCCGAGGGAATGCCCATTACCTTCACCTTGTGACTTGGTTGTGTATATTTTGAGGACGTGGTCATGACCATACGTTGATTGCGGTTTGACTACCATATCGCTACGCCCCACACGCCCCGATTTATCAAGTATACCTAAACGAATCACTCATCATCTCATGGTTTTGTCCGTTTCGTTGCCGAGCAAACTAAGATCGAGGTGAAAGTTGTCTTTCTCTTCTTTTCAGCTAGACTCTATGACTGTGTACCATACGCCTTCGTTTATTTTAGACAAAAACAACCTGTTTTTGCTTCATTGAACTTGCTGCTTAGTAATTTGACCATGTCTATAGCAACCGTCCCATTAAAAAGCCTTGGCTGTCTGTTTGACCCTAAAATATTATGTATCTCTAAGAGCAGCTAAACTAAACTTTCCCTCTACACAAACTAAATTTCTTCTTACAGTTCTGTCTGAGTTTTATTCCTGTTCTCTATAATATTGTGTATGCCATGTTAAACATGAAATATTCAAATTATTGAAGCTGCTGAAACATCAGGCCAAGGCTCATTCCAACATCAAAATCGTCTTACTTATTTCTTTAGTTTTATTACACTATTTTTGATGTTTGGGTATGGTTCTGTTGAGTTATATTGTTTCATGTAAGGATGTAAGGTGTTGTGTACCCTGAGTCTGATGTAGCGGTTTGTGTGGATATAAGCATAATTGTATGAATGGTGTGTTCCTATACAACACATTGTGAAAATGAAATTTGTGTGAATGCTACTGATCATCAATGACTTCAAGGCTGTGATAAAATATTATTATTATTATTACTATTACTACTACTACTCTTGTAATAAGGGTTCATGCACTATAGGGACATTTCAAAACTTTTTGTGTATGAACATTTTGTCATTTAAGTTCTATATGAAGCGCTGATTGAGTGTGTTTTTTCTTTATGTAAGTAATATATACATATGCACTGCCTGTTGGAAATAGAGTAGTAAATGATTGCTTATACTTTTGTGGAAGGTCCAGGATG